TCGGGACTGGGAGAACCTCTCTTCTGAACTGGCCCACAGCACGTTGTCATACATGAAGGTGTCCAACCTGAGGCTTGTGGGCTGTGAATGTGGCCCAACGTAAAATTGTACATTTACTTAAAACATTATGAGATTTTTTTTGTGATTACATGTCATGATGTATTTAATGTGTGGCCCAAGACAACTCTTTTCCTGGTGTGGCCCAAGGATGCCAAAAGGCTGGACACCCCCGGAAAGGTGCCCGGCAGGTATCGGTGTTAGGTTGTGCTCTGTGTTATTTGGTCAGAAGTGAGTTAAATGTACCTTCAAGTCCAGTCTGGCAAAACAAAAGTATTCCTGAGAGGCTTGAGAGAAGAGCCATTTTAGGGATGGCTGTGGGTATTTCTTTTTTTAGGGTGAGCAGCATAGTGTTAATACTCTATATGAATTTTGCATTTCAGTCAGGATGGGTTCAAAACTTCTTAGAAGTTTTCAAAAAGAGTCTCCTGAGCAATCTGCAGTCAACTAGTTAGAAAAGTGAGAACCCCTCCAGTTGGAGCTGGCACCACATCCCCATCAGGTGAGACAGGCGGCTTGAGGGCAATCCCACTTGGCCCATTTTCTGCTGCTTTTACGTGCAGCTTGCCCTTGGTTCTCTGCAGAGCTGACAGTGGTGGTCGTTTGTTGGGAACTGCCCTGCCTGGTTTCATAAACTAACTCCTCATAGCTAAGATTCAGTAAATAGAGGTTGGAACCATAAGCCACTTAGGAGACAAAGCTTAATCTTCCTTGTAGGGGCACCGCCTCTGCCCCCTTTCACTTCACCGTGCTTGGCCCCGGGCAGATGACTGGTTAGCCAATGATGGGTAAGATTCCTCAAAGGAGGGACGACCTAAAACAGGCATGGTCACAAGGAGGCCCTTAGGGAAGGACTTAGGGGGCTCTAGAAAAAGGGGGTGATAAATTCTCACCCCTCAGCTTTGACATAGCCTGAGTCCTCATTCTGTCTGCAAGAAGTCTCCTAATCTCTTGGCTGCCTTACTTCCCCTGCCTAACTTAAGCCTGAAACAATGCCCTAAGCCCGAAACAATGCTGAAGGTGGGTGAGGCCCTGTGCTGGAAAGGGAGTGTTCCTTGAGGCAATTGGGCCTAAGAAAGAATGCATAAAATCCTATTAAACCTACTTTGCTAATACCCTCAATTTAAATAAGGGTCCAAGCAGGAAGTGAGTTTGTTCACCAAAGTTTTATGGCCCTTTTGCTATTTGACCCTGACTCAAAAAATAGGCCCTCATAGATTCTTTGAATGTTATCTATTTGATCATTACTGTGTGACAATGATTGATAAGCTTTACGTACACACCATATATTCCTGTGCAAATTGAACCCAATAAAAACCTGTTAAAGCAAGGCTCAGGGTGCTCTCCTCTTCAAAGAGTGGCTATGCTGTCCCTTTTCCTCCACAGGACTTGGTAGTCCATGTGAATTTATCTTGTCTCATTCGTAATGCTGCAGACACTGTGGGCCAGTGTCTGAAGCAGTTGTTGACAGTGACTGAGCGTATTCTGCATCCCAGCCCTGGGGAGGTACCTGACCTAGATTATCACATGTAATGCCTGCCGTGAAATGAAAATTCGAGGTGCGCAGTTGCTATCCTCACTCCCATTTCCTAGATGAGAACACTGAGACCTGGGAAAAGGCTGCCTTTCCCCAAGAACACACAGTAAGTAGCAGATTTAGTGTCCTACTCAAGTCTGTGCTCTTCACCTCATGACCTCTTGCCTCCCAGAGCCACGGTGGCTGGGGTCAGCAGGGTTGCTCTGACAGGCAGTCACTGCCAGGGCAAGAGCTGTCACAGGGTGACGCTGAAGGTGCAGGAATACATTAGAGAAATATATGGTGGCCGCCCTATCTGGACCCTAGAAGAGACTGTAAAATAAATATGCAAATCAGGACTTTGTGTCATCTTGGTGGTTGGAAAACTGGCTCATCTGACAGGATGAGGTCTAAAAATTAAATAGTACAGGAAGGAAAAGAGTACAGGGCTGACTTGTGCTAGGAAATAAGGAGCAAGGAAGGGGGAAGAGAGAGAGAACTGACTCGGGAGTGGAGGTGACAGGAGCAGCTGGAACAGGATGAAGCTGAGGGTGGCACTTTTGGCTGGTTCTGTGTCGACATGGGAATGAGGGGAGACCACCAAGCTCCATTTATAGCTGCACCCTGGCTCGCTCTGTTCACACCACAGTCAGTTCAGGAAAGCCTGTGACCACGGGGCTTATTTCCCCTGCAAATGTCTCAGGCTGTATCTGAGTCTTATCCTCAGAAGACGTAAAATTAGAAGTGATAGGACCCAATGTGACTCACAGCCAGTGGCGATCACAGTGGGCTGTCTAGTCATTTTAAAGTCAACACAGCCAGATTAGATAATCAGGAAGACCAAACCTGGAAGTAAAGAAGACATAATGCTTATGGCGTTGGCCTGTGATATGGTCAAGGAACTTTGTGGCTGGAATATGTTCAAGGCAGCCTGTACCCAATTAGGATCAGTGAATGGTAAATGGTGTGTTTTTTTTTTTTTTTATACTTCGTTACCAAGTTACATCAGCTCTATAGTTGTAAATGCACAGGCTACACGTCTTCATCCTGTGACGACGCCCCTGGAGCCAGCAGGGTGGGTGCTGAGTCAGTAAAACATGAAGAGGCTCGCTTCTGTAGGGGGCGGTGAGGAAAGACCTAACAACCCCATTAAGGCTTGGTTGTTTGACCCAAGGGTTCAGACGGTTTACAGGATAAAGCACGACCCAGACTATTTCCTCTTCCTGGGGGAGGCCTGAGACCCAGCTGAGTCACTCTGCCCTGCCCAGTGCCTTTCAGGGGGGCTACTAGTGCCGGGCCTTTGACATGCAAATCCTATCATCTCATTGCTGATAAATGGTCCCAAAGACCAGATGACTCCTACCGTCCTACCCAGTTGGCAGTTTATTTACTGTTCCTTGCTCATCCTGGTGTTCATGGTTTTTATTCTTAAAACCCCACCAAAGTGGGGTAAGTAAAATTGGCCTTAATACAAGAACCACCAAATTGGACTATAAAAGTAGGACTCTGGAGTTAAATCTCCTAGTCGAAATCCTAATCAACACGTTCATTGTGTGACTTTGGACAAGTTGCTTAATCTTGCGGTACCTCAGTTTCCCCATCTGTACAGTGAAGATGAGGGTACCCACCTCTTGGGGTGTTGAATGAGTAAATGCAATTAAAGGGTTTGGAACAGACAGTAAATATGCACTAAATGTTAGTCATTATTATTAGGTGAAAACATCATTTGTAGTCAACAGCTGATCGACATCTCAAATCAAATGCTTTTTAGTTATTTTTCTTCCAAATACTGAGCCTGCCTGTCTAGTGCTGTGGGGAATAACTTGGGAGGGTAGATGAATGGGTGTAGGGATGAGACGTAGTTGGGGAGAACAGCAGGGTGATAAGACCTGAGGATCTCTAAGTATCCCTTACCCAGGAGGAAGGGGAGGGTCAGTGTGAACTCTTGACCTCATGCTGCCAACTGAGCTGGAGGAAGCCAGCAGTTCCAGCAGCAGACTCACCACCTGCTGATAGAATGGCTTGTGGCCAATCTGCCCAGGAAGTGCAGGCTGCCGCCAGCCTTGTGATCCTCAGAAGGGATGCAAGGTTCAGGAGAACCGATGAAAGATGTGAAGCTGAGCTCTAACCCTGGAGTAAGAGACTGAATTTTCAGTAAATACCCTGTACCTCTCCTCTCTCCTCACACATAAAAGAGAAATGAGGAAGAAGCAACGGAAATCCTGTCATCGCAAAATGACCGCCTGATAGGTCTGGAATTAACTTAAAAGAATGACAACCCAAACTGACCATGTAGTGTAGTGAGCTTGAGAATAGATTGTGAAGAGGGAAGCTGCTGAGTGATTACAGGCTCATCAAAGAGGAATGTGGGTCCTTTGCAAGGGCTGAGATAATGGATTCTATAACACACAGGAGGCATGCTTTATTCTTTGTGGTTCTTTACCAGTGTGGGATAAACCGCAGCAAGTTAATCAGCCCCACAGAACAGTAGAAGACCCTGAACTACAAAGTAACTATGAGGGCCAAAAAGTCCAGAACAATCCCTCCCTTTCCAGAAGTCTGTTGGATTAGTACTTTAGAGATTTAGATTCCAGACTAGAGTCACTCCTTACCAAGTCTGAAACCTTCGAGCAACCAATAACTGAGCTTCTTTGAGCCTCTCTTTTCCTCTCATCTGTAAAACACACCACAATACTCACACTGGAAATAGTGATAGAATGGCCTGCCTTACCTTGCAGGGATATCATGAGGATCTAGTGAAATTATGTAGGCGAGGGTGCCTAGGAATGGCTAGTGCTAAACAAAAAAGTAACAGGGAGGCTTCCTCGCTATTCTACTCATTCCAAAGTCGCTTTTCACCTTGGAATGAGACTGTTACTACTAGCCAGACACCCCTTGCTGCTCTGTAATTCCCCATCCCTTTCATAGTTAGAAGGAGGCCATGTTCTGGCCAATCAAAGGTAAGCAGGTTGATGTATGTCTGTTCTCAGAGCACCTCCTCCATCCTTCTCTTTGCCATGACAACCTTGGAAGCCACATTTCAAATGGAATAGTTGTAAGGCAGGAGAGGGCCACTGAACTTGCACTGTACTTTGTATAAATGAGAAATAAATATTATACCTAACTACACAGAGTTCAAGGGTTAGTCTGTTACAGCAATGCTTAGCAGTCATTACCGTGATTCAGAAGGAAAGTGTGGCTAGTGAGGGACAGGCTATGTTCATTTAAAGGATGCACAGAAGTTATGTCAACCTTTGCTCTCAGATTCGCTTTAAGTCAAAAATTCTATCCATGCTGCTCAAAGTTATTATTTTCATTGGATATCTCCTCTCCTAGTAGACAAATCCTTCTAGACAACAAAGTTTTTTTCTTCTTTGCTACAAAATGCTTTTATTTCAATCCAGACAATGTTCTGCAACTCAGTAGGTAGGTACATATTATACGGTCCTTCTTTAATAAATGTCCTGTTTACAAGCACTCTTTCTAATTATTAAAATGCTTATGGAACAAACATCACTGTCTCTTAAAATATAATTTAAATAAACTGCTAATGGGTAAGCCATAAGTCTGCTCACTGGCGTGAGTGGCGTGCGATTCTTCACTGAGGAGCCCAGAGCAGTAAGGACACGTTGCCCCGCGATGAGATTTCACGAGTCGGCAGGTAGCACCTCTAGTTCACCTGCTGCTTCTGTGGATAGTTGCTTCTGTGGCAGTGAGACTTGTTTGAGAAAGAGCTAAGTGCAGACAACAAGTGAGACATATGCAGTGTGGAGAGGCATCTCACAATGCAAACACCATTCAGGTAAATTGATGAACAGTACAGTGAAAGCTCGGTGAACGCAGACCTGTTTACACGATGCCACCGGGCCCTCAACCTCGTGGCACCATCTGTTGGGGCACTCAATAAATATCAAGGTTAAGGGTAAGAGAATAAACTGGAATGTTGTCTTCGTGCCCAACATCTGCTTTCAAGACTGGGCTTTAGGTTATGAATTTTTTGCATACTGCTTTCTATTTGGAAAGCCATCCATTTCCTTATCCTTAGATTCTTCATTAGCATTTGGCAACCTCTTGCTGGTATTAGGAGCTCATTGGCTTAAAGAAGAGCACAGACAGGTCCGTACAAAGTCTTGGTTTGTCACTTGAAGCAAAAAGCCTGTTTACCCCAGAATATTTTCTAGGATCTAGTTTATTCTTCACACCAACCGTCCTTTTGGTTCCTCTTAATATCCTGAGCCCGAAACAGCCAGGGAATCTCATAGCTGAACAGTCTATTTCTTCATGAAATCTCACGTCAGTGCCAGCTCCGTGCAAGGCTCCCTCAGGACTGGAAACAGCTGTCTTGAAGTTCCGTCTTCAGAGTCCACCCCCTTCTCCCTGACGTTCATGTTCTTGTTCTAAGGCTGATGCTGCGGAGTTTCCCCCTATGGACAATCCCTGGAAAATCTGGGTCCCCTTGTGATTCTCATGCCATCCCTCTTGTTCCCCATCGGGCTAAGGTTGTAATTCTGGAGACACGAAGGAAAAGTTTCTAAACTCATCCTGGTTAATCATAGGAAGATGTCCCTCATCAATTGGCGTTAAAACTGGCTCTTCTTTTATGAAATCAGGGTCAAAATTACTGACGTCTTCTCGGGATTTCTGTCAAAAGGAAACAAGCATCAGACTATGCACTGGAGACTCACCTCCACAGGGCTGAGCCCAGTGAGGTCAGAGAACTGCTCTGCCACTCGCTCTGTAGCATTATTTACAGTTATAACAATTATGATGAAACAGCATTTAATAGTGAACCTCCTGCATCGTGTATTATTATTATGGCATTTGGTAACCACCAATTCACTAACCCCGTGAAAATCTTGCTGAGTAAGGCCAGCCTGAGGCCGGGAGGCTGAGGAATTAGTCTGGTCACCTGAACCAGCCGGCTCACTCACCCTTTGCTCCCCGTTTGACCGAGGCGCCACTTCTCAGCGGGCCTTACTGAGAGGCGCACACGCTTGTATTTGTCAACAGAGGCTGAGTTCACAGTTGCCCCACTTCTGTTTGTACATAGGTCTACATGCTTGAAGAGATTTTTCTCGAAAGACTTCTCAAAAGCGCTAAGTTTAGGGAACAAACTGCCTCTTGCTTTACTCACTTGTGAGATTATGCCCAGCTGGCGAAGCTGCACTTGCCCAGAGAAGCTGGCAGGTGGATGTCCATTAGAAGCGGTGGCTTTACCTTTGGTGTCCAACCTAGCAGGCTATTGTAGATTAAGCCAGTTGTGTGTTTGGAAATGTTAGTATCTTACATCTTTAGAAGCTATGCTGAAAGATCATTTCTACTACTGTTAGACCTCACTTTTCTTACCTGAGTCCGTGATACTTTTCTCCCCACCTGAGGAAGCACTCCTCAGTCCCCTCACTCTCGATCTACTGCTAGCCCAGCGTTGCTTCCTTCCCAAACGTGGAGCTCTTGACCCACAGTTAAGGAAGAGCTTACTTCTCACACCGACAGCTGGACCACCCTCAGGAAGACCTCCCCACCCGGTGTGGGGAAATACCTTTCTGGTGCTCCCGGTATTTCTCCAGTCACAAGGGACTTCAGCTGTCCTGACTTGAGCTCTTTGTTGTAGTATGTGCTACACACCCAGGCTCTCCAAGCCATGGAGCAAGGCTAAGAGAGGTTAGTAGCATTTCACGCCACCTGTACTTCCCTGGGGGCTTGGGAATGGTGCCCTGACTAAGGAACACAGAGAAACTAGCTTAAGAATGATGACTTTCTCAGTTAGACAAACTCTTTTGGAGAAACCTGGAGAGTTTCAGTCTCCTTAGGTACCAGGAAACTGTAACTTAGGTTAAGGGAGAATGTGGCCAAGGCAAGCATGGTGGGAACTCCGTGAAGTGACCTGGGCATGCACAGCGGTGTGGCCTCAGGTGCGAGGAGCCCAGCCTCCCCTGAGGAGAGGCTGCCCTGCCGAGTGTCAGGCTGAACTTCCGGTTCATTTATTCCTCAGGGAACCATCCAGTTGCTCGACAGACTGTACTGGAACACTATGACATTTAAGAAAGAGGAAAGTCTACCACGATGGTCTTGGACACTTACGATTCGGGGTCTGAAAGGTGGTTCAAGTTGGCGGTGGTTCAGCTGGGCCCAGTCTATTTCCTTAAAGAAAGGATGTCTTAAGATGGCGTGCTCACCGCCCTGAGTCAGGCTGCCCAAGCGCATGGTAGGGTTCTTGGTCATGAACTGAGAAAGAGGGGGAGAAAGGGTGTCAATCATTCGGTCATATACGACAAGTACATCACCAGGTGGTGCGCATCAGCGCTAGCAGAGGGGTCTGTGCGAGGCCTCCGGCTGATCTTGCTTAACTAGCTGAATTGTCCATCACGGGCAGCACAGCCGTGAATCACCCCTTACAACACAATTGCCTGTGTTTTTACGGCCTTCCCCACTTCCACTTCAGATGTGGCCGCTAAAATGAAGCTGGAGGGTCCAGTTCTGTTTTCTGTAAATACCATGTCTTTTTCTTTCCTCTTTGAAGAAGAGAAACTCTTTATAAAATAGTGAGCCTTTCTCCAGCTCGGCAGTTGTAGACAGGCTGCAACTCATGCATGGGGCTACTTTTAGGAACAGCTGTCCCATTTTTCTGACAGACCGGACTAGCTGGCCGGCAGGCCCAGCCTCTGACGAGACCGCAGGGGGAAGAGTGAGAGCCATGGTTTGGAGGATCTCTGTGAAGAAGCCACAAGGGTGAAAAATGCTCTGTGTTCTGGCTCTAGGATAAACGAAGTCGGCCGCTTTTCTTTATGCAACAAAGACATAGTTTTAAATGAAAAGTTTTTTTTTCCAAGATGCTCCCTTCTGCCCTGTCCATCCATTATGAAGTGTTTAATGGCTGAGAATCTTGCTACATGGGCCAAAAACTGAAGCAAGCATTGCAACACATTCAAGCAATGAGGGTGTATAAATCTTCTGCATTTAGATCAGCTGGGAAATTTCCTTGGGCTGGGGCTCCTATCAAGATGTTTTGGGTTAAATCTACTTTCACAAAATGGCCTATAAAAGGTGTTTTGATCATGTGCCGACCAAGGACTATGTGGCCTAATTCACTTTTCCTGGCCAGAATGTGATTTTGGATTTCAAAAACACTGATGCTAATTTAATTTCCCATTTTTAGAAGAAAATTGCCTTGGATAATATGTTTTGCTTTTGGTTTTAAAGTTAAATCAAGTTATCTTTGAACAACTTCATGACAACTGACGACAGGCCCCGAGCGCCCCTGTCGAAGTTTGATTTACGAATACAGGACAGAAATAATTCTGTGTTCAGAGACTGCTGTGGAGCGGTTTTCTAGAGTGAGTAAAAAGGCAATCCTGGGAAAGGCACGGACATGGAAAGCTGGTATCCGAGGTGGCTCTCCCACCACGCCAGATGCCCACAGCTGCGAAGCTGCCGCTGTCGCTTCAGCTGAAAATGATCATACGGAGGAAAGAGGGGGCAGCAGAAACCCCCACACACATCTGACAGGAGGGGCCTCAGAATATGCTGACAAGGCCTCAGCGGGAACCAATGGGAAAAAAAGTGAAGACACGCATGGGGTGTAACGCCTCTCCCCACTCCTCGTGACAAGCATGGAAGGCCACAGGTGGTGCTGGACTGGAAGCGGAACTTTGAGGTCCAATCTGAGCAGTGAGCCCTCCAGGCACGTACAGGGGTCAGCATGGGTTTAGGAAACGTGCATCTTATAACTAACTCAGTCCTGTGAGAGCTGCAAGTTCATGCTGCTTGGGCTCTCCCTAGATATTGGGAGTATTAATATCGCCAACCCAGAAAGGGAAGGGAAAATATACGAAAGCAACAGGAAGATTCTCTCCTTAGGAAAGTCGGTGGGATACAATCCCTAATGGAAGATCAGTGTCTATTCTAAGAGCTAATTACCATATTTTGCTATGAATAATGTGAACTTTTTGCATAATTTTTTTGGGGGAAAATAAGGATGCACATTGTACGTGGGTATAATGATTATATACCATGGGTATAATAATCCATGTGTATAATGCACACAAAACTTGGGTGCCCATTATACACAGCAAAATATGGTAACAAAATACTGTGCTTCCAAAAACTCAACATACAAGAATGGGAGAACAGATCCAGGTGGGTTGTGGGAAATTCCCAGGCCTGCCAATGATGCTAGCAGAGGATAGCTTGTGAATGTGTGGGTACAACCTGTTCCTCTGGGCAAGGGGAACAGTACACGGCTCTCGATGCCAGGGTGGCAGAAACGCCAATGTCCAAGAGACTTGGCCCATTCTTCCCTGCCCCAGCGCCGAGGCCAAGCTTCCACGGGGCACTGGGGAAAGGTACTGCCGAAGGAAAACTGGGCCAGATCCCGGCTGCTCCTCCTCTAAACACGGCATCCCTCCAAAGGGAGACAGGTAGAGTAACCCTTTCACTAGGTTGATACTTTCCCAGTTCTGATAAATCCTTTTGAGTAAGCAAGCAGTACAGTGTTGACTTTTAACGTCTTGTTGTAAATAAGCCCTTAGGTACAACCATCCTCCACTTAAAATTTAATGTGGTTCAACTTACAAAAGTTTACAAGTGTTTACTGTAGGCGGGACAGTGCATGGGGCCTCGTGTAGACACAAAGATGACAAGGACAGTAGGGGGTGGCGTGAGGATGAAGGAGTTCATCAAGAGAAGAGGCAGAGGCAAGCACACTTCATCCACAACACACAGTGGATGAAATGGGGGGGGCAAAGTGCTGGGGGAGCTGTGAAGAGGGACTCGGCGGACCGCACTGGTGCAGACAAGGCAAGCAGTGGCCTCACAGGAGAGGTGGCGCTGGACTGAGATGAGGCAAGTGCCCAGAACGGACATAGGCACCACTGTCTTCCTCCTTCATGCCTCACACAGCACAGATGCACAGACGGCTGCAGCAGCCTGCTATGTGGGTGGAGAAGTGTGCAGCCTGGTGTGGTTGGCACGCGGGGATGGTTGAAGAACCAGGGGCAGCCTGTAGGATCCATCAAACGTGTATGAAGAGGTGAGGGGCAAGAGCTGCGCTGTGACTCGGGAGATGACTCTAGCCCAGGGTGATGAACATGGCCCGAATGGAGAGGTCGGGCACTGGTGGGGGGTGAACGGTGGAGGAGGTTGAGACAAAAGCTGAAAAGAGATGATAGCTTCAGGATCTGAAAGTGTCCGGTTCATGGGAAGGAAAAACTGGGCAGAAGGCCCACGGGGCCCGTGGAAGAAGAACAAATACAATCCACGTGGCAGGGAGCTGGGTGAAGGGAGCGAGGGAGTTCAAGGTCACAGGGGCTGTCCTTATGGGCCAGCTGACAGAGCTCTGGTGTAGGGTAACAGAAATAGGTAATGAGAGGAGCAACAGAGTAACTATGGTGGGTAGTATTAATATTAACAGAGGTAGTAGCAGTAGTAACAGCATTTCATCAGAGACACGAAACAAAAACATCTCACATTTCTTAAGACCCGTAGTGTGCAGCGCTGGGAGGCTGACGAGCTCAGCTTCGGATTTCAGGGGCACGTGGAGATGACTGGCTGTGCAAACCCGGGTGCGGCCCAGGCCTAGCGCTCTAACTCTGAGGTGTCGACATTTGACGAGAGGGCAAGAGGAGCTGAGACTGGAAGGGCAGGCGAGATTACAGAGAGGGAGAGGGGGCCTGAAACTGAGACCAGCCCGAGGCCTCGGACATCGCGTTTGGCCTGTAGAGTGTGTTTTAAAATACTTTTAATTACTTGCCAAACATTTAAAAACTAGGAAATGTCTCATCACATAAAAGTCAAGTTTTTCACTTTCTCTTGGAAAAGGGGATATTCTGGAACACTAAGACCTCTATTTCTTCTTGATAAAAATGGCCCGGAATGGAATAGAGGTGTCCTCTTTAGAGGGGACAGCCGAGCCCTGGCCGGCCACACGTCCCGCCGCAGCTGGCTGGCTTTTCTCACTGACTCTGTGTGGCTCCTGTGCCCTGACGTGGAGTGAGAGGCAAGCCAGGGTGGCAGTGGGAGGGCCTCCTGAAGAAGAGGAGACCGAGAACCTGAGACAGACACCAGGACAGGGACCGTGTCCCCCTCCCGAAGATGCACAGGTGGGGACTTAAGAGGACCGGCACCATCAGTCCCCTGAAGTCTTCCTCAGGATCACTGTGGCAGGGGTGTGCAGGGCTGGGGAGCGAGGAGCTTGCTGCCCCGGGCCAGGCACAGGGCTCCACCTCAACAGCTGTTCCTGTCCCTGGGAAGGGTAATGACATAATCCTTTTACAGAAAACTTTATTTGCTTGTGTCCCTGATGGGACCTAAATGGCAAGCAAGTTAACAATGTTTGAGCAATCACTCGTCTGCGTCTAAGGTCACACTTAAACTTGGCCTCACCTCAGCCGACCTTCCTGACTGCGGTCCAAAGGAGAAAGTCAGCCAAGGAGGAAAATAAAGTGACCTCATGAAAGATTCTGGTCACATTTACTGAAGGAGGCAGAATGTTTTCTAGGGTCAGTAAGCGTTTTATAAACTGTGAAGAGTGAGGAGGCCGGGGTGGAAAATCTGATTCCACCGGAGTGCAAGCCTCAAGCTGCCTGCGAGCAGGGGGAGGAGAGGGAAAATGCAGGGATGCATCTGCGCACTCCCCCTCCGTGGCATGCCCCTCAGCCCTCCTTTAGGTGGGATTTAACCAGAGGTTGCAGCAGGAATCAGAGGCACACGCAGCCTGAGAATGAGGAACCTGACAGATCCTTCAAAAAAGCAGTCAGCCAGGCCTTCCCGAAGGAAGTTCTACAGTAAAATGTGGGTTTTAGGCAAGGTTTATAGAGACTGTCCTGGGAAGCCTACTGCAGACAAGGAAAGACAGATAAAAAATAAGAGCCCTCTGGGCGCCGCGCTCAGCTGGTTGGGCTCTGCCGTCCCACGGTCTGTGTTTCCTTGCCCGGTCTGTTGCCGATGAGCTGTGTGACCTTGTATAAATTTCTCTGGGCCTCAGACTCCCCAGCTCTAAAACGGAGATTTTTTTTCTGTACTTCAGAAGGTTGCTATGACAAGTAAATGAGATAACCAGTGTAAAATGCCCGTCCCACAAGAAGCCCGTGATTGATTTTCGTATCTGTAGGCATCGTGCTAAGCCAGTTGTAAGTCCATCCTGTTCTACCCAAAGAGACTAAAACCTGAGGTTGGCCTTGACCCCAGGCTCACTTCCCCCACTTTGCAGCCAGTAGAGACAGAACGAG